ATCCCCACACTGCCACTGGGCTCTTCATCCTCTGTTTGTTTTGCTGTGGGCGGTTGAGTACACAGGAAAAATTGAAAAATTCAACAACATTTCGGAAGTAATAATAATATGGCTAATAGTTTGTTTCATTTAGCCTACATGTAGAACAAATGTAGCTCTCCAACTTAATTTAAAATTGAAAATGTGTCTAAAAACCTTGACTAAATTTACTTTTCAACTTTATAACCAATTGATTTGATTCAATATTTCATTCTTAATTATTTAAGTAAATACTATCTGGATCAGTGGCTTCGTTAAACCACATAAAGTTGTATTTGATTAATAGATTAACACTGAAAATCCATTTAACCGAAACCAGACGACAACCCCATGCATATATGAAGTTTGCCCATCTAGAGAGTGGCAAATTGGATATTCAACATTTATAGCTCCATCCAGAACCATTTTTTGTTCTGTGTGTTTGAGTGGGTGGTTTTATGGGTGGGTGCCTGGATGGCTGGGTGGTTGGGTGGTTGACGCGAGGATTGCTTTGGTTTTGGGATCGCTCACTCAGTGGCTCACTCAGCTGTGGGACTGGTAGTTTGGGCGGTTCGGGGGCGGTGTGTACACAATTTTGTTTTATGGTTTTTTAGTTATGAAACTGAAACTGAATTACACATGTATATGTGTGTAATGGCAAGCATGTTACAACAACCAGCGATTTGAGCGTCGAAGTTGTTGCCGCTGTGGTTCACACGCCACCGCTGCTGCTTCTGCTTCTGCTGCTGCTGCTATTGTTGTGGCTGCTGCTGTTGTTTTTCATTTTTTTCCCCTTTTTTTTATTTTTTATTTTTTTGTTGGCATATTTACGCAGCATTTTTTGCATGCTTAAAAACAGGGAAACTGTAAAAGTGGGCGAACGAGGAGGTTTCGGGGCCGGAGAGTAATGAAGCAAACTGTTGGCGGTTGGGATTGGGAGTGGCATTGAAGTGTGCCAGCCATGGCAACCGACCATACACCATATATGTATATACAACGGACTCCTCGCACAGATAATACAAACGTTGTTTAAACTTTAAACGCAATCCCCCACCACGGCCAAAAAGTGATACATGAAACGATGCCGGAGCTTGGCCATGGGTGAAATTGAACATTCCTGAGTTCTGAGTTCCTGAGCTGGCAGCTAAAGGCAGAAAGCCCTGCATATGTAAACGGGGGCCAGGAAAGCGCATTTTCCAACCATTTTGCCAGCTTCCCAGGCTTTCCCCCCAATACTGCCCACTGCGAGGTCTCTTTGGTCGCTTATTTGAATGCAATTGACTGAAGGCTTAGCCAACATTATGTGTGGCCTGGCTGGGCTTAGTCTGTTGGCGACATGTTGGCTTTTGGCTCAGCCATCACTCGCACAGTGGGTCGAATAGACGGGCAGACAGACGGAATGACAGGCAGCAACTACAACAAGTTGCAGCAGCAGCAGCAACAGAGGCAGCAGCAACATCACGCATACATGTATTTCCGCATCCGCTTCCGTTTCCGCTTTGTGCATTTCATAGTAGCAAAGGCAGCAGGGGTTAAGAGTGGGCGATGGCGGTGACGGGGGGCCTTTGGGTGTTAAGGACAGCGACTGCGGCAGTGACAACTGTCATGCTTTTATGGCCACATTTGCCAATTGTTTGCTGAATTGTTGACGTAAATGTCGCCCGGATGAAAAGGCACCATACGTCTGGGTCTGGTTCTGAGTTTCTGAGCTTCTGAGTCTCCGGTTGTGTGGATGTGCCAGACGTGAGCACGCCTCGCCTTCATCGCATTATTGCTTGGTTCCCTGACACTCACCAGATCCTTTTCCCCAGCCTCCGTTAATCTTGTTTAAAGGACAGTCGGCTGACAGATTATGCCACCCAAACAGAGGAGGAGGAGCTGGTGTAGGAGGAGGCGGTAGCCAGCCAATCCTCACCTGTTGTAATCATTCCGTAATCCGTTGACGGCAACACGTTGCCACAAATCCAGCGCACGCAAACTCTTTGATGCGGAAATTTGCCTCGAATTTCCACGCACATTTCAGCAAGGCGGGGAAATGGATGGGGCGTGGCGCCTGAAAAGCCACCCAGTTGCCTAGTTGCCTAGTTCAAATACACTCGGCTGCCAAAGCAAATAACTTGATTGCACGAATTGCGATTCAGATATAGTGGAGATGACAGGCCGGCTGACAGCACAAATGAACATCGACCGACAGGCGGTTTGACATCGCCACTGATGAAATTAATAAATGTCGGAATTCGGGATTATTTATTTATGCCGACCCATGCTGCGACTATTATTATACTATGATAATTGCGGCAATGAAATAGGCCGCATAATAACCGAAACCCATTAAATTAACATGGAACATATTTAAAAGTTCGCAATTTAATTATTAATCCTCAATTAGCATCTTTTTTTAAGGAGTTGGAGTTTTTGTCTGATTGCAAATATTATTGTTTATTTTCAGTGCATTTTTGACATTCCTAAACTTTAATGAGGCTTTAATTGTTTTAAAGGCCACAAAGAGCCTTAATGGGAAAAAGTTTCCTTGCAATAAATCTGATTAAAATGCGTTTCTTTTAATTTGCATTTTTGCATAACTTGAGTTATTGTATCCCGGTTTAGAGTTTAGTTTGTGGTTAAATACTCTAATATTCTACATTCAAATATTTATTTTGAATGGAATGTCATACCTTGCCGAACTCGTAATAAAATTTCCAATCAATTGGCATTCACACCTAAAAAATTTTTATTTTGACCAATTTTTTCCAAAATTTGTGATCCCTAATTTAAGATCCTTATTTTCCGCCCAAAAAACAACAAAACAACAAAAGTAATGGTCTCAAAGTGGAATGTCATACCTTGCTGAACTCGTAATAAAATTTCCAATCGATTAGCATTCACACCTAAAAAATTTTAATTTTGACCAATTATTTCAAAAATTTGTGATATTACCCCTTTCAAAAAAAGTGAAAAATTTCGAAAATTTGTAGTGTTTAGAATCAGCCAGAAAATGACTGCGGTTGATTATCTAGCTTTTTAGCTCTCCATAGCAGTGCGCCTTTTAGATATCGGACCAGTTTTGATCAAGTTACATCAAAAAGAATTACGAAAAATATCGACTTTTTGTCAAAACCTAAGATTCTCATTTTCCGCCCAAAAAATATCAGTATTTTGGGCGAAACAACAAAACTAAGGGTCTCAAAATGGAATGTCATACCTTGCTGAACTCGTAATAAAATTTCCAATCAATTGGCATTCACACCTAAAAAATTTTTATTTTGACCAATTATTTCAAAAATTTGTGATGTTACCCCTTTCAAAAAAAGTGAAAAATTTCAAAAAATTTTAGTTTTTAAAATCGTCCTGAAAATGACTGCGATCAATTATCTAGCTTGTTAGCTCTCCATAACAGTGCGCCTTTTAGATATCGGACCAGTTTTGGTCAAGTTACATCAAAAAGAATTACGAAAAATATGAATTTTTTGCCATAAACTAAGATTCTTATTATTTCTTTAGTATTTTTAAAGTTTAAGGTTATTGTTTGCCATTCACAACAATTCAGTTCTGAACTTTGCCATTATGATTTTTAAGGGCTCTGCAAAAAATAATAGTTCCCGGCAAACATTGTAATCTTTTGTGGGCTGCTCTCGAAGGGATGGTGGTGCAGCTGAACAAGCCTTCAAATTCCGTTTATTGCTTGAACAAACCTTGTGCAGATGGCCCAAAGAGTTGGTAATGGCCACCGTGGCAGTAACACCATTAAAGACGGATGCCAGCAGATGGGGTGGAGGTGAAGGTGGGTGGTGAGGTGCTGCTGGGTTCTCCGGAGCGGCATGCAATTCTTCGCATCATGATATACCTTCCGCTTGGCCGCCGCTGGCAGCCAAGGCCCCCTTTGCCACCCACCCGCCGTGCTGTTGGTTTTAATTCAATTTAACAATCTTTTTTTTTCGCTCGTTTTGTTGTTTTTTCGCTCTCCTTTGCAGTTTTTTGCCCAGTTTTCCTCTGCTGTGCCGCTGCATTGTTGCTGGCAGCGGAAGTGGAAATGCAGCCGGCAGAGGCAGCGACTGCGGCAGCGACGCCAGCCATTAGTGCAAATGAAATTGCATTTTGTGTGCCCCAAACACTCAAAGAAATTTAATCAAAGGCGCTGCGATGCGCTTGGCATATTTCGCTATATGTAGCGATATGTTTGCTTTACCTTGCATATCATTCGCTTGCATACCTCTTTATTCACGTGGCTTTATCGAGCGAATGCCTATGTGGTATCTGCTTGCTTTTATTACCACTAAATCGACTGCAATGCTTTTCAATGGCTCGACTTTCGTCCGTATAATTGCAGATAATAATTTTCAATATTTCATAAATGTTCACTGAATGGAGCAGTCTACCTGGATATCATTCCTGCTTCAGAGTCCTCGTTTCTGACTCTGATTCCGATGATGGAGAGTTCGAGTGGAGTAATTGAAACGTATTCATCATCATTTGCGAGCATTTTGGCCATTAGGAGCAGCTTACGGCTGATGGAATGGAATGGGTCTTGGGAGAGGAGGGCTGTCCGACAATCTATTCAAATAGATGATGAATAACATGCATTAAATAACACGCCTGCCAGAGTGTTGTATGTGTAGCATTATATCACTCTGGCTTCACTTGTTCACCAGCCTCATCACCGGAAACTGTCCAAAGATTTGCCCAAGACTACAAATATTAATTTCGATTGAATACCAATCGCATCTGATGTCAGAGAATTGTGTCGGCCATAATTGAACAATATCAAATCCAAATACTTGACAGCCCATCGCATATAAGTTATGTATTTACCTAAGCTGGTTACAAGTTTGACTTGTGGTGTCCTAGGCCTATACTTATAAAGCCACAATATTTGTACTTACCAGAAACATTTATTATTTGATAACATACAAGTTTATTTCACCCGCTGGCTAAAGGATCCGCTCCTGGCGCCATCCTGCACTTGACAATAATTAAAGCCTTACTTCCTGCTGGCCCACAAATGGAGTGATTTATTGACCCCCTTTTGGGGGGAGCGCCTATCTATCAGCCTTATCAACTACAAGTGCACAGAGTGGTGTTCGTTAGGGTGAAGTGGAATTCATTGGAGTGGAGTGCATTGAAGTGTGGGGGAGGGGATTTCACATATGTGTGTGTGTGGAGCGTGTTAAGGGTCACTCAAAAAGTTAAACTATGGCTAAACAGGGATTAAACTAGCCTAAGCACTAATAATACCATTCAAATTTAAGCTGGAACGACGACGATATAAGATTATAATGTAATTGTTAGGTCCAGGCCACTCGCTTTCGGGCGAACTTTGGAGGAGCGGCTGTTTGCGAGGTGACCACATTGAGGGAGCGAGATTTGTCCAGGCGTTGCAGGTCGTCTTCTCCACGAGCCGGCGGAAGATCCTGCCACACATCCAAGTTGAGGTTGGAGAAGGAGTCGCTCACCTTGGGCATGAGGTTCTCCTCCGACCGCGAATCCTCGGAAACGGCAGCTTGAGACTCCACTTCCTTGAGACTGGTGACCGATGGCACACCCATCTCCGCCTGCTCCTGGCTGAGTTGCTCCAGTTGCTTATTGGCCTGCTCAATGCCATTCAGATGCTGGGTCCTCAGCTCAACCAACGCTTGCTGCTGGCTCACATTCTCACGGAGCAAGCTGCCCAGGCAATCTTTCTCCTGGTCGATTAACTTGCTCAGCTCTCCGTAGCGCTGTAAGTGCTGTTCCCGCCAGTTCTCCTCGCAGCGCTGAAGATTGTACTTTGCCTCCGACTCGTACATGGTTTCTATTTGGGCGCAGGCCAGTTCCTCGTTCTCCAGCTGGGAGCGGTACTTCTCGAGGAGGTTCTTCAGCTCCTCCGTCTTGACCACGTACTTGGACATGCGCTGCAACATGTTGACGCACAGGGAGATTTGCTTGCGACTGGCCTTACTACGTTGGCGGATGAACACCTTGATTTTCTTGAGGTTGAAAGCGTGTCCAGAGTCCACGTTCTTAAGCACCAGAGCACTGCTCTCTTCCAGCAGCTCACGTTCCTTGTCCAGCTCACCCAGGAAGAGCTGGAAGTGCTGCTCCTCCTCCTTCAACTTGTCCGCTTCTTGCTGGCGCAGACGAAGCTCTGACATGTGGGATTCCTGGAGGGCACGTAGTTCCCGCAACTGCTGCTCACGGATCTGCTGACGCTCCTTTTGGGCCTGCTCTGTGCGGCTGATCTCCTGCTGCAACAGGAGCTGCCTTTCCGCGGCCAGAGCCTGCTGTTCCTCGCGCTGCTGCTGATTCTCGATCTGGCGATCCAGCCAGTTCAGCTTGGCCAGCACTTCGTTGTCTGACTTGGACTGGTAGAGCAGCTTCTCGTCGTCGACGCCATGTCGCCAGCGACCGTAGAGCTTGGCCTCCATTTCCAGTTTGCGACGCAGTTGCTCCTGCTCCTTCAGCGATTGGTTGACCCGGCCCAGCATCTGGAGGTCACCACCGCCAGGTTCCCGCGGTCGACGACGTCGCTCCATCTCCTTGTCGTAAGCCTCGTTCTCGGAGGCCAAAAGCTGGCGGAGTCTGTTCTGCCGTTCACTGAGGGCCGCCTGCTTCTCCTGCTGATCTCGGCGAGATTGGAGCTGCTGGTCCGCCTTCTCGTAGTATTCCTTGTTGGTCCAGTTCTCGAAGCGCGATGTGACCTTGCCCCAGTGGCTGTAGTAGCTGTTCACCGCCTGAGTGGCCTGCACCCGGTTGTTCTCCTGCTCGACGCGTTGCGCATACGCCGCGTGCTGCTGGTTGAGGCGCCCCGGCATCCTTGGTCCTTGGTCGATGGTCCTGCTCCTCCTTCCTCCTGTCAAAACACACAAAAAACGAGAAAAGGGAGTGAGATGATGGTGAGAGTCTGAGTGGAGGCGCCAGTTGGCTGACAAGTTCATAAACTTTTAAATTGGGGCCAAGGCAAGCCAAGGAGAATGAGAATGGATGGGTGTTCGGTGGGAACTTCCATTTGCAGTTGCCCTTCCGCAAGGGGAGAATCTCAGCTGGACACACAGACTTCATGGGGCAACTTCATTCAATTAGCTTGAGGATGTTCAACTCTGAACTTACCTCAGTAAAGCAGATATATGCAGGGAGCTGTGAGATGAAAGTTTACTATACGAGTGGCATTTCCCTTTGCTGTTGACTGTCTTTTATGTGCTGCTACTACTGCCTACTCTGACCCTCCATTGGAAATTTGGGAAAACAGAAATTTGACATTTGGGCAAACAGCACCAAACGAATTCCATTCTTTTTGGCCAGTCAAAGGCTTTCGGTCCGAACGCAATTCTCATCCGCAGTTAGGGAATGCATGGCTGCCAACCGGACAAGCGTTATGGTTTTCCCGGCTCTCCATTTTTGGTTTTGGTTTTGGGCTTGGGTTTTTTACCCCCAAACTGCAGCCATCACCGCAGCTGTCACTAACTGCCAAAGCAGCAGCAGCAGCAGCAGCAGCAAAAGCACCATCAGCCACTGGAGCGGCCAAAACGCAGAAATATGGCAAAATCTGTTGGCAACGCCCCCTGTCCACACTCCCAACTAGCAGTCGCTGCTGCCACGACCCCTGACCCTGCTACCCAGAAACAATTCCCGGCCAGAACCAGCCGCCAATCCATCAAGAGGACAGCCCAGCAATCTGTCAGAGGGGCAGGCATGCAAATGACCACACTCGCCAAAAAATATACTATATACTATTAAAATCCCAGAGGATTTGCGGCGCTTTAAAATATATAGATAAAGAAATAACTGACTGACTCTTGGCATACATTGGTAGCAAATTAAAAGCCTGCCAAAAGAGAAGTTCATAAAGCTGAGACTCATATTCAGACAGCCTCTAAACCCTATTATCTTGCTTTTCTCATTGAAATGTTATAAGACAAGTATTAGATCCTTGTCCTTAGGCTTCATAAAAGCTTAGCTTTAAGAAATTGTATTTGGTCAGGCATTTTGTACGGCAGGTTAAATTGAAATTGGTATCAATTATATAATTACGTCTTTATAAGATACAATGAATCTTTAAAGTGTGTCTTCCAATTTATTGCCCCCTTTTTAAATGTCTTACCCACAAAACCCTTAAACTTTATTTGTGTGAAACACTAGCTTTTAATATTTTTAAGTGCAAAAGCTGATGGCATGAGGAGCGGGCTGACTGAGCTAATTTCCCAAAGATTTATGGGCACCACGAAGCGCATTGATATATGCCAAATTGTTTACAAATTGATTGCATTATTAATAATGCCCACAGAGGACCGACCAAAGCCTCTTTCGCCCTCATTGCGAATTCAATGGAAAATGTCAGCCGGCAAGGTGTTTGTGTGAGTGTTTCAGGGACTGGGGGGCGCGTAAAATGTAAAATATTCCAGCAAAGTACTCCTTATGTCATATGACAGACGACAAACTTTGGCAATAAATCAAACAACAGGCGACGATGCCGTTTGTAGGAGGGATGCTACCAGGATCTGTTCGGTTTAAGCCCCCTTTCCTCTCAGCCAGGATATCGAAGTGGGCGGCTGCGGCAGTGGGGGCGTGGCAGGCGACGCACACGTGGAATACAGAAGCAGTGGAATGCCAAGATGCCACCGCTATATAGACTTAATACACTTTCGGCACACACAAATTCACTTCCTTAATTGAAATTTTAATTTGAATACTTTGGCAAAGTTTTGGCCGACAGCCAAGTGAGAGAGAGAGTGAGACTCAGGCAGTTCAGGCAGCAATAACAAACAGCCAAAAAGTCGCCGAAATCCATATATATGTATACCATATACCCCGGCATCCATTTCCCCCCTCTGGCAGTCACCATCCTTTCCACAGGCAATCTCGCACAGGCTCAGCGAGTTTTCAATTTACGCGCCTCGCGAGTCGTTTGTCATTTTATGCGTCCTAATATATGGCATGTGCGTGCCGCTACAAGGATACCAGTTACGAGGAACCGGTACCCCCAGCCTGCTGGTACTCCCGCCTCCGATATTGGGGGACTCTGCCTGCCAGCCAGCAAGGCGTAACTAATCAGCACAGACAATGATATGGCGACATCTGATGAATTGTTCGCCCTGCCGAAGATTTCAATTGGTGGTGTTGGCATATTTCTAAATGAGTATGCACGCAGAAAAATACGATGTCGATAATGAAAGGGCTAACATAAGAGCAATTTAAACTATCATTCCAGTTAATATTTAAATTATAATAATTTATATATAATCATCCATAAGTGAATGTCAATATTAAGAGCATTTAACGTTGTAATGCTAGCTTTAGATTAAATAGACCGAGATAATAACAAACTCAAATAATAACTAAGTGTAAAAATGATTCTTAAATTCTCTATGGAATATTAAAAGTACAAATATAAAAATGACATATAATTCAAATAATGAATGTTATCAGAAAGTGTGCTCCATTGACCCATATAAAAAACCAAAAATTATATATGTAAGGTCAGTTTTCTGTATGCTCTATTAAACACTTGAAATTAAAAAACCCCCCACCTATCTAGAATGGCGCTTGTCTTTCATCGGACATTGAAAAACCGGCCCTTAACTTCATATCAATAAATTACTACTTCACATTATTGGCCGATATTCATTTGGCCCGGGACCAATTTATAACGATTGAGATTATGCCGACAGTACAAATGAAATAGTGAAAACTGATATGGCCAGTATCCAACTGAAATTATTCCGTTTTGCTCGCCGTGTAGATAGACTCTTGCATGGCTTACCCATCAAAGAGTTTTCATTGAGGCCCCGGGGAATCCCCAGCGAGTGCAATTACTTTTGTTAATTGTAATACACACAGCCGCAGAGACACCCGTTTATTTGTCTAATGTGCGAGAGTGTAAAGCTTCTGGCCCGATAATGTTTACCTTCGTGGGGTATTCACATTCAGGGGCGTCGGTGGGAGGGGGCTGAATAAAAGAAGGCCTGTGATTTTGCGTGTGATTTTTGCCCCCCACTCGGCATTTTTGATCGCGAGAGCGTGCCAAGGCGTAGTTAGTGAGCGGCACTTAATACCCTGATAAGATGTACGATTATCGGGTAGCCAGTCGAATGGTAAATTATGAACACAATGGTCAGCATTATTAGCCGCCGAAAGTCGAACGGGCAATGCTCTAACTGGGGGATTTGACACCAGAAATGCTTGGGGGAACCACCAAGATAATTATAACCCGCCTTACTTGATTTTTATCGCATTTTAATTGCATTGTTATACCCCCGTTTTGTTTGCAAATGTATTTTTAAAGCTTAATGGAAAATTTTAAAAATACAATTAGGCATTTTCACACTACTCTATCAAATTGCTAATAAAAAATTGCACATTTTCTGCGTGTTTATCTGTATCGCACACCTGTGGTCATAAAATATCTTTAATTATTTTTGTTATATCCAGGTGCGGGGCCAGAAAATTACGTTTTCCCCCGAACAATGGGGTAAAACAGATGTTCTCGAAAAGACAGAGAACTGAGTACTTGTTCTTTTATTGCAAACGATTGGATTATGTGTCCATTAGAAGTTCCAGGGGGAGTACCCCCCAAAAAACAAAAAGGAAGACCAACTCGAGATTACAAGACCTAATCAAAGGCACCTGTTGGCAGCAGCGATTCGAAATAGTTGAGTTCTGTTCGATGGCTTTGGACTTCGGTTCAGTTATCATCAAAGTCATTGGCTCACAACATGGGCGACAAGGCGTCTGGTTGGGACTCCATTTCCCCCGACTCCAATCCCAAACCTCCAGCAATCCTCACGGATTCGGAGCTTTTCGAGCAACAACAGCTGGCCACAAGTTGCGGTAAGTGCCGCCACAACTATTTTGCTGCTAAAACAATTCAACAATTTCGAGAAATTTCCCCTTTTTGAAGTGTAATAAATATTGGGTTTTGAGAGGGGGCATGGGCAGAGGTGTGGTCTGCGTGTTTACCTTGCCGCAAGTATAAACAGCAAATAAAATAAAGCAGCAGAGGTAGAGAAAATGAGTCCAGTGATTTGGACTTCCTTTGGCCGAGGCGCCAGAACGCATCTGGCCACGGTGCTCCCCCTAAAATTTTCGACCAGAAAAACCAGTGTGTGTGTAAACACTATCTCGCACGGAATAAAAATAAATGAAAAAACAAATTCAGATTAAGCTTGAGATGAAGATGAGGATGGAATGTGCTCGTTCGCCATAAATCGACGACGGAAAATAAAATGCTGTTAATTTGTCTATCCATCCGATCTCGGCACTCCGACTAAAGTAATTTACTACCCACCGCATTTGTAGCGGACTTCCCCCGAAAACCAAAACGATCCCACCGAGGGGCATCCCCGATCCATGAAACAAAAAATAAAATTAAATCACACGAATACAAATTAAAAAAAAAGAGTATGTCCGGTGGTCAAAGAAAGCAAATGACACAGAGAACGACCAGGGGCAGAGATGCTGCCTCTAAAATCACTGCGAAAGTCACGGCTTTCAGTATAAGAACCGAATTGGGATCATATCTCAACAATAGGATGATTTTTTAAGATCACACCTAATTAGACTAAGATAAAAACTTTTATTAAGCGATTAGATCTCAAATTCCATAAAGGGACAAAGCACCAACATTAATGAAAGAAAGGATTAAGGATTGAGAAAATATAGACCCAACAACTTGTAATAATTCCTTTTGCAAATATTAACTTTTAAAAATCTTTTTTTGAACTGAGAACCATTTCTGATTACTTACTCATGCAAAATTAAATCATAACAAGTTGTTTTTCTAATTTTTATAGTAAAAGTAATGAAAGTGGTGATAAATTGTGTTGCATAACCATTTCAATATATAATGAAATATAACAGGTAATACTAAACAAGATGAATCATCTAAGAAATGCAAAAGCATAATAAGAGGGCAAGAAAATTCAAAGACATCAATAGTAGAAAAGCTGCCATGTATTTAAGTCATCTAAAACTGTGCAAATGGCTTAATCATTTATCAAACCAAATTATTGCAGCAGCCAATTTTTTATCCAACAACGTTGACAAAATATTTTTTAAATACATCGATGACAATGCGAAATTTCCAGTCACCAAAAATCACCTCAAGCTATGGAAATGGGCTCATTCATTTATCAAATCCATATATAAGAATAAAACCCCATCTGTGTCTTCAAAAATTGTATACAAATATATTTGAAAGAGATGGTTAAGACAATAGATGAGTCATGGGATAGGAGTGATTTTTTGATTTCGTAAAATTTTGGCACACGTGACGGTGACAACAATAAATTATCATTACAAATTCAAGTCTTTGATATTGCCTAGTGCCAAAAGCATTCTGCAGCTGGCTGATCGCGAAATGTCCCACTAACAATTGTTTATACATCTATTGTTTGAAGAGATTGTCAACAAAGTTCCCCCCGGCTGATTTATGGTCAAGATAGGGAGCCCTTATCAGCGGCAACCTTCAAGACTGACCGATATTGAACTACTTGAATGTTTGGAGTGCCTCCCCAATCGAAATGATCACCCAATCCGCATCACGGCCCTTCAATCGTCACAAATCACAACAGTTATAATTGTTAATCACTCGCAACTGTCGGAAGTTGTGATTACGAGGCGTGAATTTTGCCCTATAGCCTAGGCAACGTTTTCAATTTCAATGATTAACTCTAATTGCATATCAAAGTGATAGGGCAAAGTATACTTATTTCGTGCACGCAAAGAAAAGTGGTGATTTTAAAATATGTTTGAGTATGAACAGTAAATAGTAGTTACAGATTCTTTTTTTAAATGGAAGCTAAACAAAAAAGTTTCTTACTATACTAAAACTTTTCCTTCATCATATAAATCATTATATTTTTGTTTTAATACATTTTGTATTATATTTTATTTATAAAAACCAGTTAAATATAAATCTAATTTTGAGAAAAACTTTTGTGTTTTAAGTAACAAATATTATTATAGCTTTAAGTATAGTACCCCCCTTTTCTCTCTATGCACCCATATCTATAAGGCGAAGTGCCAAGTCACGCTGACACGTGTGGCGGGCCTCGTAATAGTATTGCTTAAAAAAGAACCCTTCGGATGGGAAAAAGTACCGCCGATCGGAAGAGGTGAAATGCGGTTAAATGGGGCCAATGAATTCGCACTGACGTGGGTAATTCACCGAAACAACCGATCGCTAGATCGTCGTATTAAATTTCCCTAAAGACCACAGAGTGACCTTAGCGGAACTTGCTGGCTGATAACAACTTTATCAAATTCAGCTGCGACGTTGACTGCGGCAGAGGCGGTAATGCAGGCAGCGGCGGTAGCCGAGGCAGAGGCGCCGGCAGCGACAGCGGAAAGCTCTTTACGAGAGCGGTAGCGGTAGCAAATTTTGAAATCAAAATCAAAGAGCGAGCGGCGAGAGCGTTGGGGCCATAAGTTTCATGCGATTAACCATTTGTTTGGCATTGCTCCTACGGCAGCGGCGGCGGCAACAACAACTACCAGCGGGAGCGGAAGCAGCGACGCCAACAGCGACGCCAGCAGCGGCGGTACGAAAGCGGTGTGAATTTTTCTATAAACTCGGGTCCGCCCTTATGCTGGCCAACATTCGCGATTGTGATACGGAGCATAAGGCCGCCATGCGAGCAGAAAGCTGCCAAACCAAAGTCTGACCTTCGAAATTTTGCACAACTCTTGCCACAGTCAACTAATAACAAACACACGGCAAACAACCAACAACCAACAAACAACGAAACAAACAACCAAACAAACAAGCAACGAAACAAATAACTCTAAAAGCGAGCAACAATCGACACAAAAGTTCCTAAATCAAAGTCACATTTTGTGCGCGCACACAAGTTCCTAAGTAGCCGAAAAGCTGAAAAGCCAGCGAAACAATTGCAACAGCAACATCAGAAGACAGCAGCAACATTAGCAAACAGCAGCAACACCAGCAAACAACAGCAACATGACAGCATTGGGATTAGTTTTGCTATCCATGATGGGTAAGTGCTGGGTTTTTGGGGATTCCTTCTTATCGACATGTCCCTGGGAACACGAAAATTAAATAGATACCAACCGCCTTATCGCAGTAATGATTGGGTTTTCATTATTTTTTCAATTCTGAGCGCCCATCAAGTGCAATCAGCGTCAGTTGAGCACTGATAGCCCCATGATTATATATGCACCGCACTCTGATAGGTGTTCTATATATAATATATGCACAATTTGCACGCTGTCAGATGTGTGATTTTTTGTTTCAATTAATTACTGACATTTAACAAAATTGTCATTTACTGCTTGACAGCCAGCGGGCGAGTGAAATGCTTTTTGATTTTAATATTCATAATTATATTCGCACCCTAACCGAAGCTCAGAGTCGCTTATCAAGTTCCCCGGCTTAAAGGCGCATTTCAGAGAGGAAATCAGCTTTCTCGCTCCCCAATAAAAATATCAATGAAACTTGATATCAGTATACATTTTTGTATTGAATCAAAAGTAACCACAATAAAAAGAAACAATTCAAATGCTTTTTAACATATTAAAATAAACCAATTTAAAATATTCGAAGCGTTCTTCTTGAAAAAAGAAAAATAAGCACGTAACATGCTAATTTTTTGAGGGCGAATGCAAATAATCTAGTGCGTTTTGTGGAATATAATAATATAGTCATAACAATGTTTGATGAACTGAATAATAGAGTAATGATAATACTTGTGGAATAGAATAATATAGGCAGGACAATAAATATTTGTGAAGTTGAATAATATAATAATGGCGAGATAAATCCAAACATGACAGTATGGCACATAAATATATTATTGTTTCGGATTCAGGAAATCATCTGATTTTCGGATTTCGAGCCTAAATATGTTATCTTTCCGGTTCAGATTCAGGAAATCTTAAATTTAAAGGTCAGATGCAAAATGTTGATAGAACCAAAAATTAAAATTAACCAAAGGGATTAAACATTATAGAGCATAGGGAATTAAATCTTCGGTTTTACGACCTAGAACACTCGCTTTCTTTTCTGGTTTTTTAGCTTTTGCCAACTTTTTTGCTGATTTTATTGTGCTCTTTTTTCTGTTTGTTTGCTCCGGGTACTTTTTTGTTTTCCCGTTGTACGGGTATCGGTTGTTTTTTGCCTGTTGCCTTTTAATTTTTGTTGTAATCGAGCGTGACTTAATTTCGCACATTCCCCCGAAACAATGTACGGCTGCACGGATATTTGTTTAATGGCAGACTGACGGGGCTCTTCGGCATCGTCAACATACATAATAATATTGAAATGTCTCTATTATGTGCATTGCCTGATTAAAAACAAACAATTACCTAAGGGACCACTCCACTACACTCTCGGTATATGTGTGTGTATATTTCTGCCACTCTAATTATTCGCTGGTAATTTAAATACTTCAATTATGCGAGAATTTAATCAGCACGGCAGCTCCGGCTCGATAAACCGTCCCTGGGATTAATCGAAAATTATCAAAGAACTTTGCGCCTCTGCCTGTGAAATTACTTTTTGTAACAAAGTGTGTGCGGAGTGCAGGTGCAGAAGGTGTAAAAGCTCAGGTGAGGCGATAGTTTGGCATTCGAGGGTGTGAATTTTAGGGGGGGTATATGTATGTGCGCGAATAGTCGCTCACACAAAGTTTGCAACATTGATTAGGCCGAGGGGTTTTAATGTTTACTTTATTAGGCCGCGCAATTAGGGTAACAATTAGGGGAGCGGGCTGATTTTGAGCCCTTCGTGCTTGGCTGTAAATATAAATGTAATTAACATGTAACACACACACTAGAGAAACTAAGCGGCATAAATTAAACATCCAACGATTTGCCAGTTCCCTCATATCCCTGTATATCCTTGTAGTACTCCCGCTTTTTCCTGCTCTGTTTATTATTCAAGCACGTGCCGCTCATGAAGTCCAGGATTCAGGATCCAGGATCCAGGAAACTGAATTCAGGATAGGTGCCAAACTGCGGGCGCGACACTCGCGAACAGATGGGGAGAAAGTGACAGCACTCGATATCCTTCAAAGCAGTTTTTATAACATCCGAGTTTCAGTATTCAGTAGAATGCCCTATTTTCTGTTCAACCTACTATTCAAACATTGTATTTAATATACACCTTAATACCTTACAAATAGGTGGTTATATTAGGGTGTTAAAAGCTCGCAAACCAAATAGAAATACAAACAATACGACAATTGGGAGTTTAACACAGTTTTTCCAGAATTTAATTTATTCTGTTGACAATGACCTTGTTTTTTTTCAAAGGCACTCGTATAAAAAAAAGTATTACTTTAATATCGTGCCATTTGTGCAACTCAGCCGGATGTCAACACTGCTATTATGTTGACCTCGACTGTGTGCCCACGCAACTTTCGCTCTTCGTAAATTTTAATTAGAAACTGCCGCTATTAACTTAGTCAAGTGCTGCGTCTCCTGTTTCCGTCGCCCGTTTTCGCTTTTCCGGCTTTTCCATCGGCACCCGCACCAAGTTTTCCGTATGCATATAAATGCCGGGGGGCGTATGCCCGCAGTGGGCGTGGCCTGTCCCGAAGTTTTTGGCAGACGCCGGCAAACCAAGCCAAGGCGATGAGCTCAAACTCCCCGAACCTCACTTTCATGTTTGCCACCAACTCCGGCAGCATACATAAATACACAAAATTTGAATGAAATAGTTTTTGGATTGGAGTCTGAATTTGAATGTGAGTTTGCATTTGCATTTATGACTCACGGGGTAAGGAACCAGGGCCAAACGGAACTGAAACCGGGCCCCGGCCTTTTCTCCGGCCCGCAGTGTCAACGGCCAAAACGCTCACGCCATTGATAGATGATACCCGACCCGTAGCACCTGTTGCGAATCGGCTTCCTCTGCCATTTGGCTTGGCTTTCAGGCATTTCGCATTGAGCACTTAAAGCTGAGTCACGCTGATGTGGTCCAAGCCAAAGCGATTCGAGAATGCCCTACTGAGCCAGCGAAATAGATACATCTATCTGAAGATAATCTACCAGTGGCATATCATCGATTTTCATCCCAAAAACAAGGGGGAACAGTGTTTTCTGTTAGCCAATGTAAATATTTATTTCCACTTTAGAGGCTTTGAAAAATATTGCGCAAAAGATATAAAAACAATATACAATGCTAGTCCGAAATTGGCCGCAAATATTTATTTTTGAAAAGTAAAAATACTTGTTTTAGTGGTGAATATTCTGGCTAATTGGTAAAAAGAATATACAAGCTCTCATATAAAAATATAATTTTATCTCTGCCTAAATATCCAACCAATAACCCTCTTTTTTACCCTGGAATATCGAATATATACATATCTATAGACGCGAAATCAAATAAAAATCACCCATCTAATTGGCAGTTTAGCATATTGCTGATGACGATCGCTGTTGCCAATCGTTGCCGATCGGCAACTTGTTTCTTTCGGCTCGTAACGGGGATTTTTAGCGGAACTGGGGAGTCGCGGAGTAGACAAGTGTCAGTTGAAAATCGTGGGTCGTCGGAACCGCAGCCACCGCCGCAGAAATCCGCAGACAGCAGCGCCGCGTGGGGAACCCGGCTATCATTTATCAATGGAATGTGAGCGATGCACGGTGGCACTACCGCAGACCACACGCCCCCCCCTTTTCACACTCACACGCCCCCCTTTGCAATTAAGGCCGACATATTTTGACTGTCTTGGAAGTGCCAGAGTCTTTCGCGCCAGATATAACTCATGGCAAAAGTTAAATTTGAACTTGTTTACGCCATTTTAAATAATGCACGAGAATTAATGTAAACAAACAGTTCACACCAAAACAAACTTTGAAAACCAAACTTTCCATGTGGGGATGTACCTTAACAGTCATCGAAATACATAAGATTTTGGAATATATTATAGATTGCTTTAGAGCTACAATGCTTTAACAATGTAATATATTTGAATTATAAAGTGGTTCTATTCCAACAATTTCTAATGTAATATCATCCTAAGCCCCACTAATCCAAGAACCCTATATCTTTATTTTCAGGCTATAGCCAGCACATGCAGGAGGCGAATATCGGAGATGGAGTGGCCACCGCTCGACTTATCTCCCGGTCCGACTGGGGCGCCCGCTTTCCCAAATCCGTGGAGCACTTCGAAGGTCCCGCCCCCTATGTGATCATCCACCACTCATATATGCCAGCGGTATGCTACAGCACGCCGGACTGCATGAAGAGCATGCGGGACATGCAGGACTTTCACCAACTGGAGCGCGGCTGGAATGATATCGGCTATAGTTTCGGGATCGGCGGCGACGGAATGATCTATACCGGAAGGGGATTCAATGTTATCGGAGCTCATGCCCCCAGATACAATGACAAGAGTGTGGGCATCGTGCTGATCGGAGATTGGAGAAGTGAGTAGAAGATACTTAAATACTTAAATTATTTAAAAAGAGATGATGCTTTTCCTTAAAGATGAAAAACCATTCATGTCTTTAATGAAGGCTTTCTTTAATAATAACATATTTTAACTTTTTACTAATGACCTTCTTCCCTTTTTCTTCCTTCTAGCTGAACTGCCGCCCAAACAGATGCTGGATGCGGCCAAGAACCTGATTGCCTTCGGGGTCTTCAAGGGTTACATTGACCCCGCCTACAAGCTGCTGGGTCACAGACAGGTGCGGGATACCGAGTGTCCCGGGGACAGGCTGTTCGCCGAGATCAATACTTGGTCGCACTTCACCCAACTAAACGCCACCGAGGCCATCACTCCTGCCCCAGTTGAACCCCACGTTCACATGCCAGCCCATCCTCCGGCGGCACCAAAATCCCCTCCAGCTGTGCCCAAGGTCTAGTTAAGGTCTGGGCACCCAGACCCTCATCCCTCGCAAAAGCAGTTTAAGAGAAGCCACAACGAGCTCGGCTCCCCGCACAACGCCAAGGAGTTCATTCAGTATTCATTAGATGTCTCTTCGAACATTTCACAAATAAAGCAATTTCTAGATGATAACACTTAAACATAACTCCCTCACTGTGGCTATTTGTATCCAGCCACACAGTCGACTCGTATTCCCCGCCCCACATTCGCACTTGTCAAATCAAATAGCAATTAATTTGTGTCAAATTCGATTTCGATGGCACAAGTTTTTGGTCGACACGCGACGCTGAAAATGTCGGCGACCCCGCAATTCGAAAGGTTTTTCCAACCATTTGACATTGGCTCGCCATGGGGGTCGTTGGGGGAGGGGGGAGGAGGGGGTCCATAAACCCCAATCATCACATGCGGAAAAAACGTTTCTAGGTCCAACTGATGAATTAATAAAGCCTCAGGGGATGTCGCATATTGAAATTCCAGACCAGAACGCAATCGCCTTTAAGCCGATTTTTAAAGTCCACCAAACATATGCGGTGTACTTTATGAAATAAATAAATAAGTAATTAAAATTTGGAAAATCTGTTAGACGGGTCGGTTGCTAGCAAAAAAACATTTCAAATGGTTGCAAAGCGAAAATGTTTCCACTGTCGTGGGGGCGTGGGAATATTTGCTGTTTAATTTGGCATGCTTTTCGGCTGATGCTGACAAGGCAAAAAAATAAGTGGCGTGCTTTCAGGCGAAGCTTTAAAAAACATTTTAAAAACATACTTTTGATAACGAACATTGCAAGTTAAACAAATATTTGTGGCAGTGACATTCGCTTTAACCATTTGTTTTCGCTCTGCTGGAGTAATTTGATTGATTTCAGCGATATATAAGTTACTTTTTATCAGTTTTTACCACTTTGATTGATAGGGACTCCCGAAGGGTACCAATTTAATTAAGTTATCTGAACACTGGAAATTGAATCATAGATTTACTATGATTTAATATGAAACTTGTTTAATCAGTGTATTATAACAAAATATATCATATTAGGCACTCATATCTCATCTGTTGATTAACCAATCAATATAAAACTGACATGACAACTTAATCAGTCTAGCCCTAGTCCAATCGATATGCGATCATTGAGACCAAATATACAGCCACGCACTGTCCGATCAATCGATCGATTGCACCGCTCCCCCGAAATGTCAACCACAATTGAGTGAAACGCGGGAGCAACCACTTAGTAGACAATGTAAATATTGAAAGCGAATCGGAGAGAAGTTACGCATTGGGACCGGACAGACCGTCGAACAGAAGCACTAATGGGTTTGGACTTTCTAGACGAGTGGTTTTTATCACAGGGTAAGACGTCCCATCCACCCACTTCCCCTGAAATTAGCTGCGACACCCACGCCGCTGGGGAAACTTGCGTAATTGTGCCCCATTGAATGTGAGAAGTCTGATAAGAGGCGCCTAATGAGCGGATAACGAGGGGAAACCAAGGGGAGCTGTATCCTTGAGGCGGGTTATTAATAATTCCATTGAACTGCACCTGTCGTAAGGTCAATCGTATCCGCTATATCACCCAACCCCCTCCCCCGAGCCGCTAAATCGAAAAAAAGATGCTAAAAATATTCCTCTGTCGGTCAACAAAATTTTCATTTCACTTGATTTCGTTCTCCCCGAGATAATGAGAGGAATCCCAAGAGAGAGGTATATGTGTTCCCAGAGCGAGTGGGAAAATTTTAAAAATTTTCAGGCATCGCCGTGCCGTTGGAAAATGTATGAATTTAGTTTTTGAAACGCCGTCATAGGCGCTGCTGCCTCCGCTGCTGAAAATTCACTCTCTGTGTCCGTGTGTTTGTGTTTGGTGTTTGCGGTTGTGGTGGTGTGCGGGTGTTCGGGTGTCTGACCCAACCACCACACATATATAGTTCAAATATATATAAAAAAAAATATATATATATCTCCAATATATAGAACAACTACGCGAACGTGCAACGCAAACTGCAGCGAGCGAATGAACCAATTAATACACATAATAAAATTCTGAAAAATCCGTGAAATATCCAAAAATATAGCACCGCCACATATTCGTGTACATTTGGGCCGCGAAATGCGCAGAACTTGCAAAAGCGCTCTTGTCACTGGCCAATCGATCTAATAAATCTCTCTGGAGGGGCGTTATGAATGGGCTTTGGTGTTCCCAAAATATACCGGGCGATATTTTTAAACACTTTTGTTGACAGGCAATCTTAGGATGAAATATGGCCGGGCATTAGCTGTTAGTTGCCATTCCGAACACGTTTCCTCTCAACTTTCGAGTCAAATTAGCCAGACTCGTTAACAATTTTAATTGAAATTTCATTCTTTTTGTCCTTGCCTCTGCTTTACTCTCTTCGGATGTCGTTTTGCAATTTTTGGAAAACAGTCTTACATTCCTATACCATTTTTGTTTGTCAGGAGATAACCAATATTACACACTAGTCATTTGTTAAGGGGCTTTTAAGGTTTAACTAATTAATTGATAGTTTTTCATTTAACAAAAGTAAAAGTAGTTCAATATGAATTTCCTAACTTAGAAAACCATTTATACAGTTGGAAACCATGAATTTGTATTTCAATTTCAACAATTTTTAATTCGATAAATATCGATAAAGACGTATAAGTGGGAACAGCTTAGAATGCATTCAAAGCAAAATTGAGAAATTAAACTATAATTGAGTTTTGACAACACATTGTCTAATATTTCGGAAAATTCCTCAGATGGCGCTTTTCGCCACAGAAGTCTGACTGTACTTCTAAGTATAATTTTTATTTGCATGTCATGTTTAATTAACGCCTCCATGCAGGAAAGACCGAGAAAGTGTTCGTCGCTCCGGCCAAAAAATTTGCAATCGCCCCGAACGAGAGGAATTGAAATGAATATGGGGGGTTCGGCCGGTGGGGGTAGGTGGTTGGTTTTTGGGACCGGCCATGGAATGGCAATGGAATGAAACGAATTTGGATTTCATTCTGCCTCCTCGAGAGATCCTACACTCCACCACCCCCTATTTTTTTGGCCTTTTTTTCCACCACACACCCAATTTTGTGTACGTTTTGCTGTCTACTTTGTGAAACGAGCCAGTTGAATAAAAACAAAAGCAACAATAAAAACAAAACAAAATGGATGGATGGAATACCAACAAAAAAAAAAAAAGGCGAAAGACGAAAGCGCCAGAGATGTGTTTCCTTTTATTCTTTCGATTTGGTTCCGTTTTGTCTCTCCCACTTGGGCAGTTCTCTCGCCGCCTGTCTCTTTCACTTTTTTCCTCACTTTTTCCCCCCACTTTTTTTTCCACTTTTTTTCCACTCTCGGCGGCACAAAGAACCTAAAATTAAATATTTTCGCCTTTTACATATCGCAGCCAGTGGCAGAGCAAATCGTTTCTGTTATTGTTTTTGTTGCTCTATTCCCGTACACTGGGGCATTGTTGTTGTTTGTGCTGTTTATTGGAGTGCATATGTACGAACGGACACACACACATACGCAGGCGTTTAGCTGGACACTCACGCAGAACAGTCGCGGTCAAGATAGTAGTGGTCATCGTTGAGAGTTGCAGTGGTCTGCAAAGCGCATTTTTCGTCTTCCTTTTCCCCAATTAGGGAAGGAAAAGTTGCAAATTGTTGTTTACATTTTCCGAGAAATTAGGTCTTTATAAATACGCAGCAAAAAGCCGAGAAAAAGCAAATAATTGCATTTTCCTTTACTCTAATTGCATAAAAAATTAAAATGTTAGTGCTGAAGACTACGACTAAATGATTTTAAATTTGTTTTTTATTAAAATTAAAACGTTTGCACCCACAAATTGGAATTTTTCATGTTTTTGGAGTACGCCAAATAAGTTTTTCATTTTAAAAAATCCATAAATGTTATTAAATATCTGATTTATAAAAATTATATTCATGCCCCAAGTGTGTTTTCACTTGAAATAAATGCTCGAAAATTGCAAATAGGCTAGCAAATGGTACAATATGTTTGTTGAACAGTTTTCGATAATGTGTAGGATATTTATTTTCAGTAATGTAAATATTTAGTCATTAAAGTTTCTCTAATACATAAACATCTCAGCAAATGAAAATCAACTGAGAGATATAGACAGCTTTAGATATAGAACATCGATTAATCTCGAAGATTGCTATGTAATTTGGGGTAATCCAAGCCGCTATAGTCGTCCTACATATTTGACTGCAACTGTGGCTGTTTTTGCGAGCGCCTGCAAAAGCATTCCACTCAGTTGGGATTTGTTGATGCATTTGTCCCGGCTCCCATTCCGAACCTCGCCGTATACCCCCTATATTCCTACATCTATCCTGTTCGGTATCCATGGATGTCCCTGTCCATGACTATGACACAAAGGCCTACATTCTAACGCTCAGTAGATACGGCGACACAAACAGAAACAACAACAGCAGCTAGCAAAGCTAATGAGCGCATTCAGTTAAAAATAACATTGAAAATGAAACATACCCAAATATACACGAATTGAAATGAATTGAATCGGATTGAAAATATCTCAAACAGCTGTTGCTCATCGTCGGCAACGGACCAAGAATAAAATTCCCAGCAACAAATTCGCGCAGAAAAAATACATAAAAATCTATTAGAAAAAAATACGCGTATAAAAAGAATTATCAAGGCGAGGCAACATAAAAATATAAAAAAAAACAAATAGAAAAATAAACGAAAAAAAAAAAACACGGAAAATCTGAATGAAAGAACTTTTTCGGACAACTTCCCTCGACGGTGCTAATGTGCAAAGTTTTGTGTTTTCATCAGCAGAAACGACAAGAGAAACGGGAAAAACAAGCAAAGAATTCACGGCAAATTATTTAAAAAGAGTGTGCGAATAGACGGGCGACGACATCGGCCCCTGGAGAATTTAACAGCAATAACACCGGGAAAAAAAAACAAACCACCAGAGGAAATAGTCGAGATAAGTCGAGAGGACCGCAAGCAGTTCCCACAAAGACGACGAAATGCCGTTTGTGACGCCCCGTGCGGGAACAAGCAGTGCAAGCAGTGCGCCCGGCGGACGCACCACATTCCGCCCACCATGGGTGAAGGACGACGGCGGCACCACTGCCACCACCAGCACCACAAAGCCCAGCACCACGCCATGGGCAAAGAAAACAGCCACGACAACGGCCGCAACTCCGGCGACCAAGGAAAACGGGGAAAAGTCCACTGCAACCAAGCCAAAGGCAGCAGCAACCACCACTGCAGTTGCGAAGAAAACCCCTGAGCCGACTAAAAAGGTGGCCGAGCCAGCCAAAAAGGTGACGGAGCCTGTGAAGAAATCTTCCCTGTCCACAACGGCGGCCAAGAAGACACCGGAACCCGTGAGCACCAAGAAAGCGCCAGAGCCAGTCAAAAAAGTGGCGCCCACTGTGGGGCTCAAAAAGCCTGTGGCCACCACCTCGGCACTAAAAAAGAAAAAGGAGCCGACACCACCACCCGAATCCTCATCCGAGGAGGAAGAGAGCGAGGAGGAGGAGGAGACCGAAGAGGAATCTGGGTCCGAGGAAGAGGAGGAAAGCGAGGAGGAGAGCGAGTCCGAGGAGGAGGAGAGCGAGGAGGAAGAGGACACCACTGTGGACGAGAAGGTGCCCGAGCACGTGAAGAAGGCGGCCCAACTACGCCCCACCACCGTCAACAAGAAGCCGGAACCGGAAAGTGAGTTGAGCCAACGTTTTACCATGGAGAAACCCAAGTTACGCAGCGTGGTGGTCAAGCGGGACAAGTCCTTGAAAAAGATGGCCACCGAGGACGACGACGAGGCCGAGGAGGGCGAAACGGAGGAGGAGCGCGACAAGCGGCGCCGCTTTAAAATGGAGAAGCCCAAGTTGCGGCACGTGAAGCGAGAGGAGAAGCCCCTGCCCAGCAAGAGCACCGACGACCTGGCCAAAATCCGGCCCGTGCTTAAGAAGGTACCCAAAATCGATGAGCTCCTCAAGGAGCCAAAAGAGGAGCCCAAGCCCGAGTTCACGACCAAGACCCTGCGCAAAGCGTCCATAAAGCGCGAGCCGAGCATCAAGTGTGGTAAGTCATCCGATCCGATTCAATCCGATCCGGAGCCAGCTCCAGTGATGGAATCTAACCCGATGCCCGACTGGATTAACCCGATTAACCTCTGCGAATGGATCGACTCAACAAGCGCTGTAAATTTTCGCCCCTGCTTCTTTAATGTCTAATGTCTAACCAGAAATGTTTGATTTACGTTCGTGGATGGCTGTGGGTATATACATATATTTTTTATATTTTATATTTTTCGCCTCTTCTGCCTCTGCGATTTTCATTGGCCCTGGCCAAAAGGCAAGGCCACTGGGGAGCGCAGCAAACCAAACAAATAATGCGTCACCATGGCGTATGAGTGATATGGCCAACAAAATCTCTCATTGGGGATGGGAACGTGAGGATTGCTTTAAAGAGTTTGGATGTGTCACAGTCAATTTATTTTTGGTGAACAAATTTTTCATAAGCCCAATGTTTGTACAAGTACGGAGGGTAAACGTTTAACGGGGCGTATGAGTAATTTATCACACATTTACCTTGAAAGTAGCAGGCAATATTACTAGATTTATTATTTCCCTACTACCTCACTCATTCGGTTTTGGTTGAGTTTATGCAATTAATAATTAGCTGAAAGGTGTAATATTTCTTAATTAGGATACATTTTCAAACAGACTTCAGAACTCCTACTAGTTTATGAGTGATGTGTGCAAGATATCAAAGTCCCATATAGAATTTCTGGATTGCTTAACTCGCCTCCTTTAATTTCCACTGCAAAATATATACCTTCACGCTGCCATCAATGTCTGTTACCTGTCCGCTCACAGCCATCCGCTGTCTGCTCATTTATAAAAACGCAGGGTGATATGCGAAATGCAAGTGCCTGTATGCAGTGGGCACATATTCATATAGAAATATGGGAATTTATATACTTGATATGAGTGGTGTAAAAATATTTCATCAAAATGTTTCGCCCAAACAAAAACCACAAAGCGCACACAGACAAGGGACACCAGAACAACGGTGGAACAGTGGGAAAAACAAGGCTATAAAGCAATATAATATCATTTTTTATTTATTAAATTTTAGTGAGTGTTGTGCATTGAGCCGAAAGGGGCGCAAAGTGTTTTCTGCCTGCCTGCCTGCAGTTGCGAGTGGGTTTTATTTGGGGCTTCCATTTGCCGTTTCCGGTAGGATCCATCTGCCTGTTCGAAAGGGCAAACAACGTAGCAGCACAAAGGTATATGCCGGAGCAAAATGTTCTCTAATTCCGTATTTATTGCCAACACACTCGACTCGAGGAGCTTGTAATTTTGTAATGGACTTTCCTGCCGCGAGGCTGGGCTCAAAAAACAAAGAACTCGAGTTGCATAAGTATGCTGTCACCTGGTCTCAAAATTGAATTGCAGAATGTCGTCCGTGGGCCAGGCCTCGAGATACTTTCCCCTGGAGGCAGGGCAGGCAACTAAAATGAAGTGAAAGCTCGTTAGGACCTCATGGCCAAAAAGTGGGCTGGGGGATAAGCTACGTGTGAGGCAGTTAACTTCCCTTTGTCCCCGTCCTAATCAGTGGGCAATAACGTGACCGCAAATGCCTCCTAATCTTGACCGACAAACAAAGGGATCGAAGAGGCGGAGACTGGCCAAGAGGTCACTAAATAAAATGACCAAAAAACGATGTCCGCTAAAAATAAAACAGAGCAACGTTTGTCCTTTTTAAAGCTGTCACCCTATCAAACAAAAAAAAAGAAAGCAAAACAAAACAAAAAAGGGAGCAGCCGAGAAGGACACCAGGAAAGAAGGGCGAAACATTTATTTAATGTGTTCGGGTGAATTCTTGAGAGAAAGGGTCCCCTCAGTGGAGTGGAGTTTTCTTTTATGGCCCAAGACAAAATTCATGATTATTGCTCATTCTGTCAAAACTACAACATAAAATGGAATGTTTTAAAGCCAGATGAGGAATGGGGCGGCCAGCGTGGCCTGGTCTCTTAACTTTATTTCCCCCGCAAAAAAACTCGAAACTATCGAATGATAAAAGGCCAACTCGGACTCGAATTGGAATTGAATCTTCGGGGGGCGAGTTAAAACGAACCGAAAGCTGCCAAAGATATATGGGAATGAGCTTGATAGAGTCTAACTAAATGCCCCATTTATATTCAAATATCCGCCACTAAAAAACAAAACGAAATAAAAGACGGCGCTGGCCGCAAGTTCCCCGTCTTAAGAGGCTCGAATGTCTTCAAAGGACAAAAAGCGGCAGGACAAAAAAAAATATTTTCTTTTATTTAAATGAGCCTCATCTCTATGTATGCGTGTGTAGCTGCGAGACATGTAACGGCTGCGCCCCAATTTTTTATTTGGGAAATTCTTTGCTTTCCTTTTTTGCCTGGTTTTCCAGGGTCAAGCGATGGGTGGTATATTGGGTAGGTCTGCCCGTCATTAGAAATGTCGACTTTCAATAGGTGAGGGTGATTTTCTTTCTTGGTTTTCTCTGTGTGTGTCCCACCCAGCGGAGCATAAAAGATGATTAGGCTCTTTCAAATTTAGAAATAGCGTGGTCAAAATGACGTAAAAGGAAATGGTTCAAAGCTCACTTACACACATATACATCCTTGCCAATATTGGCCAATAGCTGTTGGCCATAATTATACTGGGCGACAATGAAATGGTTGACTGCATAATTGGATTAGTGTCCCCCAAACGATGGCAGAATAAATCCAAATTGAAATTGAATTTTCTAATTGGACTTAAGGCCCGTCACCTGAGGCACAAAGGGAATTAAATGAGGTCTACCGTCGAGCGGAAAAAGCAAAAATATTTGATAAACAAAGAGAACTCGAAGAAAACGAAGTTAGCAAGTTTCTAACTTATTTTATACACATGGTGCCGAATATAAGTATGTTTTAAAGCTGATATTTTGAAGAGGCCAAGTAAAAATGAACCAAAACCCTTAAGCGGATTCTGAAACCCAACAGTATTAAATATGCAATAGACAAAAATCTACTTGAAATAGTAGCCACCATAAAGGAAATTAAAATTCCCTTCCGAAAGTAAGGTCATAGAGAAACGCTTACAGTTTTAGGGTGAAGGAACAGCATAATTTCCGAGCTAATAGGGTTCCAAATAGTTACAAAAGCCCCATGTAATCCCTGTTAGCCCCTTAGCACCAGTTCTGGCCAAGTCAGAAACGCTAATCATACGGAGGAGCAACGGGGAACCCCAGTCCCCATTCCCCACTCGCCACGTTGAAATATATGGGCTGGCTGAGCGGTGCTTCATCATGCCCCGGCAGACAATGAATGAGCGGCGCCCCTGGAAGCTGGGAAGTCACTCATCGGCGGCAGGCAGCAGTCCATGACCAGGACTCTCAGTAACAGTAACCAGTACCAGTACCCAGTACCAGTTCCCTTTTCCCACTCCAGTTCTACCCGGGTTTCCCAGTTTTTTGAAGACCCGGCACTTCATACTCCCGGTTGATTCAATGACAACGGCAACATTTGTGCATGCATAGAATATTCTGCTGATGATAACACAATGTGCCAGGAGGGTCCTCCCCCCAATCCTCTTTATAGGAGGGTGCTGCCATCACACCACCGAGAGTGAGCTCGCAAAATTGTTGTTTACATACCCCGCTATTCATTCTGCGACGTCGTAAGTGCGGGCTTTGCGGTATATTAAGTGGGTAGCATCATCTCGGAGCTCCTAAAACCCCCTGCTACTGCGATTCTTCAGTCCTGGCAGTGCTTGCTTTTTATTTAAATAAGAAATAATTTTGTCGACATGAATGAATGAAGACTTTTATCTGCCCGGCACCCTTCCTCCATGCCATCTTTCCATCTTTCTCATCGCCTGATGTTGTTTTTTGCTTTCCTTTGTTTCTCGCTCGCTTCCACTTTTGTTTGCCACTGATTTAGGATAACTGCCAGGAGGTTGGGGGGGGGGCCCGAAAAGGGGGTTTAGTGGTTAAAGGGAGCGCTTTTGTCCATAAATTACTAAACCGAATTAAGCGCAACTCACTAAACGCGTCCTCAATTGGCTGTCCAAAAGTTGACCACGTATTTTAATCAGAGTTCCCCGAGAGCAGTTCATTAACATGCAGACATGGGGGGATTGTATTCGGGGGATAAAATTCATGAGCAGAAACCGGTGGATCAGTAGTAGTAGTAAAGTAGTAGAGGTGGAGCACCTCTAGACATATCAAGTTGCTCGTTTGCTCTGATTTTATTCAACAAAGTAACACGAGTTCAGATTAGTTTCATTACCTCTACCGCACTCGCCTTGGCCAACCAGCTCAGCTCCTTTTTCAGGATCAAGTTGAGGGGCTTTGGGGGGAGGTGTTTCGGATACTAATGCACCGCAAAAGGCAGCCAACCACTTAAAGATTTAAGTGCAGATCCAGCCAGGCGCAACCGAGAAACCGAAAAACCAAAGCGAAAAAGGAGAAGGTAGACTGAACTGGAGCTCAGACAAAAGGATAAGCCGGGGTGGCCTTGGTTACACACCCACTTATAAGGAAGCACCCCAATTCTTTTTCCCCCTCTGTCAGCAGCGAGGGTTCTCCCAAACAAAGCTAATTAACAGATTTGTCAGCTTTTCATCACTTGGTGGTGCCTTCATTGTTG